TTTGTTTTAATTATTGTTTTTTATTTAATTATTTATTTATAACTTCTTTAAATTAGTTGTTACTTTCATAAAGTTTCGTTTGTAGACTTGCAAATATTGTTTATCTGGCAACCTTTTTTGTTTTCATGCTTTTTCTACACAAATTATTTTATTTTCAACAGCATTAACGGCTTGTTTATAATAATTTCATACTTTATGCCTCAGCACATTTACATGCAACATGCTTTAATTACATCTATTCTTCTGTATCTTCTTCTTCAATAACACTAAAAACTGAGACAACAAAAACCGGACAACATAAGTCAACAGAATTACTCCTTTTATATATAAGTATATGTATTACTGTCTCACTTAGTTCATATAGTTTTACATTTATTTATTTATTTAAGTATATTTGTGTCTACATATATCTATTTATGTATATATGTGCATATGTATGTGTTTAAGTATGTGTTGTGTATGTGTATGTTTAACAATTACAATTCGCATTGGGCGTGCCTTGAGGTTGATCTGTCAGTCGTTGTCCCTTTTGCCCGGCGCCCACTAACGTCGGATCCGAGTCTAAACTCTCCGACATTTTGTCGCAAATTATATCCACCAGTCGTTCGAAGACAGCCTGCAACAAATAATTGTCAAATTTAAATAATACAATTATACATGTTTTTATTTTATTTACATACCTTAACATTAACATTTTCTTTGGCTGAAGTTTCGAAGAACTCCACACCCAGCTGATCGGCTAACTGTCGGCCTCGTTCGAATGAGATCACTCGCTGATCTTCCATGTCGCATTTGTTGCCGACAAGTATCACTTGTGCGTTGTCCCAGGAATATGTCTTGATTTGAGTCACCCTGTTTGAACGTGAGAGAGAGCAAGAAAGAAAGAATATATAGTTGTTTGTGAACAAGAAATAAAGCATTGTCAGTTATAAGCCACTTTCTTTATAAGTCTTTTTGATATTTTTCACTTTATGGAAATCGCACTACGATGCAATTGTGTGTGAAACTTGAAGAAACTATGAAGTCTTTCGAACAATATCTTTGAAGGTTAACGGAAATGTTTTTCAAAATCCCTGTACATTTTTTTTTTTATCAGGTACATAAAAGGTATATAAATCCTAATAGTATAGTCTTTAGATAGCATATTATGGCATCAATTGCGATTAACTTTAAAGACTATAATTAAGAGTGACTATCTTTAACAACTAAGAAGGAGAGCTTTTGTTTACCCTCTCTGCCAAATCGAAATTGTATGTCATCTGTTCTTCTTTTTTCCACATTGCTCTACAATTACTTACCAATCTTGTACGGAATTGAAACTCTCCTCATTTGTGACATCATACATCAGAATGAAACCCATGGCGCCACGATAATATGCTGTGGTTATTGTTCTGTAGCGTTCTTGACCCGCTGTATCCTGTTAAAGAGAGAAAAAAAGAAAGAGAAGTAAAAGTAGGAGGAAATTAGTACCGTTGAATGTATAAAAATAAATTTAATTGCATCTCAATAAATGTTTGTGCATTAACACTTTTATAGCGACAAGTTGCAGTTTTTATAGTCACAAGCCGAGGGTGAAAGGCAAACTGAGTTGTGTGGGACGACTACACTCAATATGTATGTGGTTAGTTGAACGCAGGAACAATGGTAACAGCATAGTTGTGGGTATATAAATATGGCATAAGGCTTACAGAATTGAAAACTGTCGAGTCAAAAGTTTAATGTGTACATTTTTACAAAACTTACATCGAGAGATTGCCTACTTTGTATAAGCTGGAGGCGAATTTTGAGGTTAGACAGATTTAGGTTTCACAGAACGATCTGAATCGAGTGATTGCATGAAGAACTAATTCAAATGATGAGATATATCCATGAAGTTCCACAGGAGTCATAGCCTAAAGTAAGTGTGTAATCTCCAAAAATGTTGTACAGATCGGATAACTATAGCATAAAGCTGTCTTGCAAAGCAATCTAGCAACAAGCTAAAGATTCTTTTATACCCTTAGATTCTGTAAGAAATACTCCAAAGAAGGGTATTACAACTTTTTGGTTATTACGCCATTTAGTTGCTTCATATAACCATAAGCAATTGATAGAAATAAAAAAGCTAACGAAAGCACATTGGCTCAGATATTAGTCAAATATAATAATCCTCCGTGCGCACCATTGCTAATAACAGAGATAAGAGATAATATGCATGTAGCAACAGAACAATTACAATTACAAACACCTACATATAAACTTCTGATATCTGAAATTGATACGTCGTTGACGATATATATTATGGAAAAGAGAGATAACAAAAGATGTTATTTATGAACGGTATGATCATGTTACCAGCCACCTGTTGCTATATGATTATTATCGTCTATATGTATTTATGCACAAAGGCAAACACAACCACAATTGAAAATGAAAATGAAACTGACACTCAGTTAACAAACTGCATTAACTAAGAGTGTGGGTATTTATTTTCATTTTCCATTTTCTTGGCATTCCACTCGAGCGTATGTTAATGCTGCGGTGGCGCGAAGTGTTCGTTAACTGATAAGTAAAAGTCAATAGGACAAGGTTAAATGTGTGCAACTGCAAGCACGGAGGTTTTACGCACACCTTCACAGCGCTCTGAGTACAAATTCATTTCTGTATGCAAATTTCAGCGACACAGAAAGTTGCTAGCCAAGCCGAATGCGGATCCTTGCGGGAATGTAATGCAATCACATTAAGAAAACAGTGTCACTACACGCTAACTATTTCTTTTCTATAGTTTTTTGAGAGTTCTATATGAATCGAACGCTCCAGTATTTATTTCAGTGGGTAGAATAAGCTAATTAGATTTAAGTTCGTGTTCAATGGTGAATGGATGAACGTTTTGCTGCTAGTACAAAGCGGGTGTACAGAAGGTGTGAGTCGAAAGTTTGTGGCGTATTGCAATATTAAACTCGCTAGTGGATCTTTTGAAAAAAGGAAGAACAACTACTAAATATTTAAAGAGTTACTAAGACAGTTATTGCATGAGAACCTTGCCAGATGCCTTTTGTATGTGATTACAATCTAAATGATTGCAAAATTAAAATAGAATATGGTAGAATATGGTGAATAATAAATAGAAAAAGCAGAGCAGACTAGAAAACCAAAATAATTGCTATTTATTTTCGTTCTGAAAAGATGCCAGCAGCGTAAGGCCAAAGTAACTCGTGTGAACGACTTCAACGACGACACAAGAGCTCGAATGTTCCAACTCGAACCATGTTAGAAAAAAAGATCATAGGAAAAAAGGTCAATGAAAAAATGTCCACCTGGAATAAGCCAATAAAAGAAATTGAATAATAGATATAGCATGTTTGTAGCAAAGGACGAAGCGTGAGCATATTATTTGCAATAAAAAACATAGAACATAACTAACAGGCTAAAGCTTTCTTGAATGAGGAGTTGGTTTTTTTAACGAAATTTCTAATATCCCCCTTCAATGAAATAAATGTCGAAAACATACCAGAAAAAAGGTATATTAAGCTAATCACGAAGTTTTAATAAGTATACAAGGTGCGTTCCAAAGTAAACAGGACTTTAAAAAAAATAGAACAAATGGTTTTTCCGGCACAATCAATTTATTTTATTCAAAATAGTCTTCTTCCTTTAAAGATTCCTGTTTACTTTGGAACGCGCCTTGTACAAGGACTATCTATCTRTTCTTTAAGCTCCCGGCATCTGTGCCGAAAGAAAAGCATAAGCGCAACGATCGATTTTAAGAGAGGCAGGGGAACAAAAAATTCAATATCTTTGGAATGGTATGAACGAACAAAAAATATTTTACAGATTATTAAAGGTGAATATTTTTATCTCCAGTATTTTATGAGAAAATAATTTTACAATTTTATCGTCCTCTAAATTTCAAACTTCAATAACTTTAACAAAAAACAAAAAAAAAAAAAGAATTTTAACGAAATATTTATATCACGGGGTATGCGTCTGGTCCACTTCGTAATGAACTGCTAATTTTCAAAATCGGAGATTTTTCGAAATTTTCTTGGACCCCTTGACGTGGTTTGACCCGGAGATAATCTTTGCAAATAAATGCCAAAAAATGTGTTTTTCGAAAAATAATAAACATTCCCCATTAAATTTAAATTTTCTGTGTTTTTTCTTTAAAAAGTAATGAACCTCGAAATGCATCACTCTTTATAGAAGAGGAAAAGTGGCAATTATCTTCTTTTCTTAGCCTATTGCTTTCTTTCAACCAAGTTCCTTTATATAACGTGTACTGCTGTTGACGTCAAGTACTATCAGCACAACCCTTCGAGTGCAACTACAGACCACTGAGTCTTTATAAGTTGCTGCGTAACTGGTCAAGGTCATAAATGATATGCCATTAAATGAAAATAGTTGACGACAAAAAGTTTCATAGCTAAGCAACTTGCTGCATATTTATCTTTTTTCCCACCCCTGTCTGCGTGTAGTATATAAAACTTATTCTTGCTTAATGGTTAGTTCTTTGCGATATTTTGCTCGTCGCCAGTGTCCATTTATAAAATTGTTCGCAAGGCAACAAAAACACAATTTTCAATTAATAAAAAATGTTGCTTTGCAGAAAGTCATTTTTCATGCCATACAGAGAAAGGGAGAGCTTTTAAATTATTTACGCTCGCATATACACAATTAATCACGTGCATGTCCCGGCTACGCTTCAATACACTTCCCTTCCCACTTGCAATTAATGATTGAATTTCTTTTTATTTTTCTTCTTTCTCTGCTTATGCCACTTTTTCTTATTAATATTTCAATTCCATAATTATTTCTTTTCTTATTTTTGCTCAATTATTTCATTTCCCATCTCGGCATTCCTTTGCCCTCTTTGCATTGCTACTCACCCAGATCTGCAGCTTGACGCGTTTGTCATGTCGAAACACGGTTTTCACTTTGAAATCGATGCCGACCGTCGACACAAAAGCTGAGGTGAAACTGTCATCGGCATAGCGAAAGAGGAAGCTTGTCTTGCCCACACTTGAGTTGCCGATTATAAGCAATTTGAACATATAGTCGAAATTTTGATCGGCCGCATCCTTCTGCCACTTGGGGTCCCCACCGCCAGCCATCTGCAAGGAGGATTTTAGAAAATTTTTAATTTTTTTTATCTAAAAAATTAATTGTTAGTTAGAATTGGAAAAGCATAGTTTTAGAAATATAGAGACATTTTGACGGAAACCAAATCTAACAGGCTATAAGTTTAACATGCTCTAAAGAAGTTAAATAATGGTAGTGTATAAAAGAAGGGAGGTAGAATATAAATATTAAGTTTCGCACTCAATGGACTTTCACTTGCTCTCCAGTTTACTCTAGTACAAACACACTTTAATTTACTCCTCATTTGTTTTAATGTTTTAGTGTCCTGCATACACATACACATGTACATACATATGTGTGTCAAGGATGAGCGTATCAATGCCGTATCACACACATACACACACAGCCACTTACACCAATAGTGCTTCATTAAACATTCCTGCACGCATTTCTAAGTTGCCACAAGTATGCCTGCACTTGAGCGTTTACTTACTTGCTTACTCGCTTCCTTAAGTGTTAGTTAAGCATATAAGTAAATTGCATTTCTCATACCCTCAGCCGCTTGAATGCCGCAATGTGTAGGCCTACGCTTGCTTTTCTGTGGCCTCAATGTGTAAACCTGTTGCTTGACTTCGCCGTCTTGTAAATGAGGTGCGCACAAATATACATTTGCAAATACATATGTACATATACATAGTAAATGTGTGTATAGTTAAATGCATACGTTWGTGAAGGTTTCTTGGGAACTGTATCTCATTATTAATAAGAATTTTTTTTTATTTTTCTCTGCGTATTTATCTGTTGACGGCTGCTCTAAAGTCTGTCGCACTGAGTAATTCGTCAGCACGAAAAGTCTTGCGCGCTACAGAATTCGCCTAAAACAAAATAATAAATAACAAGATTGGTACTTTAAAAATATCTAGTCCAGAAAACATGATTCCCAAGCTGGCATTTCTCCACCTTACATCTTTTTTAAGAATACTTTTTAGACTCGAATATCTTCTGAAATAAGTGTGACGCTACTAAGAATTCATATAACGTTACTTTCTGCTGCACCAATGCCTCAATACCCTTCACAGTTACTTTTCTTGTTGCATATAAGGGTATACAAAGATCTCTATCTTCATTTTGATYGGTTTGTTTGTATGGCAGCTATAAGATTTAGTASTMCGATATGAACAATTTCTTCGCAAACTAAAGAAGTGTCTTTGAAAATAGTCTATGCTGAATTCCGGGAACATATCTCATTAAATAAAAAAGTTTCCCCATACAAGGACTTGATATTGATGAATCAGTTTATATGACAGCTATATGTTATTGTTRTCTGATATCGGCGTTGCCGACAAATGAGCAGCTTCTTTGGGCGAAAAACACTTATGTAAATTTTCAGAACGATATCTCAAAAATGGATGGAATAGTTCAAACAGGGGGAAATCGTCTCAGCTTGTTACGCTGATGTCTTATATTAATGCCTTTAAACTTCGTGGTGAACTTCATGTAGCCCATTAAGAGTAAAAATTTACATATATATTATTTAAACTTTACTTTCGTTTTATAAAAACGTTTTTCAACACTAATTCAGACTAGTAACCCAAGCTATGCTACTACACACTTTACTCACATATAAAAGTTTATATCTATATTATATACTTCCTACTTATATATCTTCAAGTATGCATTGCAAGTGGATTAAGTAGTCTCGTGCGCTCAATTCACCGAATGCTTTGGCTCAAGCGCACATGTTTGCAGTTACACTAGTTAACAGTACGTGGAAGATATGCTAGACTTAAAATTTCCTGTTTTCTGTCTGCAAGTGTGGCTTGGTGTACAAGTTTAGWTAACCGCGGCTTAGTGGGTTAGTGGGTAAAGCACACTAGTATGATTTAAAAGTGAAAGACGAAACTTGGCAGGTTATTAAGAGCACGAATTAACTTACAACTTAGAATAATATTAAAAACATGATATTTCTTAGAGCTAGATGAAGTAAATTATAGAAGAAAAGTAGTGGATATTGATAGAATAAGCAATTTTTAGTAAAGCTTAAGCAGACGATTCTTGAATGTAATTCGTGGTAGCATTTTTTACAAATTTTGAATCACAGGGGTGGGCTAGACATATGCGAAATAAATGCCACTTTAAAGACTGCTATATTATATTATTATAATGATTTCCTCTCCAGCTTCTAGCTTAATTTCATATGGAATTAAATAATTCTTTCATTAGAGAAGGGCATTAAAAAAATCGAAAAAAGAATCGATTTATACATAAAAATCGAGAAGCTATACAAAAAAGCACTCGTTCTTTTGTATATCAATAAACTGGTTATCATATGAAGTTATGGTTCTGTTACTATTTTCAGCAGTATACCTTACCCCATAATTGCCTAACATATATAAGGTTAAAAGCCGAGGACGGTAGAAAGTCATTCAATTTTAGATTATGCGGGTCATGTGAGAATATGACTGAGGTTTACTTAAAATCGTGCAAAACCATTAAATAAGAGATATAACAAAAAATTGTGTGACGGCATCATGAAGATAGATAGATAGAAAATAATGGAGGTTATGAACTGCAACCAATGGTCTATGTGCTCTGAACAATTCCACGAGCTTGCTGGACTGCAAATGATGTGATCTCTATTCACGTTGATGGAGCCAAGAATCCATGAAGATAGTCTGGAGTATTGAGCAATGAGCAAATGCCTAAAAAGTGGGTGGGGTAGTGAAATAGCAAAAATTACCATCTGATCAAATATGAACCGGACTGAAAAAAATATATTTTCAGGTACTTTAATACCATACAAATCTTCAAATCTTTGTTATTGCCTTAAAAATAGACTGTTGAGCCAAAACAAGAAAGCAGAATTTATTTTTTCTTTCGATTTCAACTGAGTTTGGAGCGCCATTCGCTAGATCGTTGGCCGTCATATGAAACACCCAACGTCTCGTCAAGTGTAATGATACCTTTGATTAATGTATTGTCCTCAGCGACATAATGAAGTATCCCTTTTACGTCCTCAAAACGGCTCCGTAAGATATTCAGGTACCTTGGTACCAGTCGAAATTCTCATGATAACCGAAAAATTAACCGAAATATTAGCCGAAATATTAGCCGAAACATTAACCAAAACCTACTGATATTAAAAACACGATTTCCAAACCCTATTTCTTTACTCCTATGAAGCAAATTTTTGATAACTTCACAACCTTCAYTGAATACTTTGGGCCATTCAAATATTTGTCTTCCTGATAAATTGGATTTACCAAAATCCTTCTGCAATATTTTCAATATTGTTTTTTTTTTATAAAACACGCCAGAAAAACTTTTTCACATATGGAGATCAAACATCACGCGAACATAAATATGGTTTAGTAATCTAGGAAACAAATATTTTTCGATTCGGTTTGCGCACAGTTCAATTTCGGATCAGTCCGGATTAATTTTGATCAGACCAATAAATAAGCGTAATTCCCAAGCCCTTCGCGTCTTCTAATAACATGAGCTTAAAGAAAATCGCTGCCGCAAAATTATGCATTAAGCTTCTCTAAGGCGATTCATTTCAATTAAATTAAATTCAATTCCATTTACGCGCACAAATATTTAGTATGAATATTTACGCCAACACTACCAGCAGATGATTTCACACAAGAAATGGAAGAGAAATAAATTAATTTCCCCAAGCTAAAGTTAAGCACACACACACGAAAGCAAAACAGGCACAACACCTAAGCGATTTACGAGACCATTTGTGAGTGCTTACATTTTGTTTTACGCGATTTCTTGAGTGAGAGTGTGTGCTCGCGCTTATGTGTGCAGCGCGCAGTGAGTCGGGAAATGCATTAGTCCATTGTTAAGCGTRCACAATGAAAATTTGTTGCTCATACGCCCCCGTGCCGTCGAAGAACAGCGAAGAACATTGCAAATGCGCATCAAGGCACAGCCGAGAAAATAAAGCCAATCGAAGGAATGTTGAGCAAACACGAAGAACAAATAGTCAACATTGCACAGCAATGTACCGTTTTATTTATTTTTGTTTTTTTTTTTTTTKTTTKCGTGCTTTTTTTCTTGTTCATTTCATGGAAAAGCAAGTAAGCGCTTGGCGTGTACGATACTTATGTAGATGTATGTATGCACTATATGGCATTGCGTGGGTAACTATTTCTCTTCACTACTCGGTTTTGCTATTTTTCGATCTCTACTCCTACGAAGTTCGAATCGAAGCGAAGCGAAGCGTGTAGGAAGCGCTTGACAAATAGCTGGCGGCAGAAAACTTTAGCTTCTATTTTTTTTTTTTTTTTTTGTTTTTCTTTTTGTTTGAAAGTACACATTATACCTTGGTGTTGCGGTAGCACGAACAGCGTAACGAACGAAGGTCACAGCGCGAACAAATCGCGTCATTCATGTCGCCCTTGATTTGCTTACCAACATGGCACACAATGTTGCTCATACGCCATGACCAACACTTTTCGCATCACATGCTTGGCCTCTGCCGCCACAGCAAATGCTCAAGGATGTTTTCAAATGTGTGTGTACGAGTGAATATATTGTACATATTGTAACGTTATGCATGACTGTGCGCCCCGCTGTCTGCTTACTTCTGAGGTGTTCTCGCTTTTGTTTATGCCACAAACGCCATCACCTTGAGGACATCTTCCGGGCACTTAATACGCCACAATTGTCTGAGCGGTTTTTCGGTATTGTGGGCGGCTGACTCTAACTCTGGGTCACTGTCATTGTATGCGACCTTTGCCAGCGCAGCATCAAGATTAATTGTGCGCTTTGAAGGCACTAAACTTTCAGCTTGATGCTTATATTATTTCTACCATGTGAGTTTTTACACAAATTACTTTACTGCTGGTGCGCTGGAGAGCCCTTGAAAGTGTCTGCTTACTTTTTATGCTTCACTTTCGTTCCCTTTTTAGCTCGATATCACAACATTTCCTCTACTCAATATTACTCTAAGTTTATCTTTGCGCATCTTTTTTTTTACACTTCAGCAGTTGATGTCATTCCAAGTCTCTTGATAATTTTTTCTTTCATATTCTCTTCTTTTTACAAACACATATTCTCTCGCTACTGACCACAGGAATGTGGCTGCCTAGTCCACCGTACATCGCTGTCTCTCTGACATGTATCGAATTTCCTGCTTCTGCTTTTTGCTTCCTGCGCAGTTTATATTAAATTGCTTTCTCTATATGTTTATGTATAAGTGTGTTCAGCATAAAGGATAGTAAGTGCCATGAAAGAAATATTTCGAAACCATCAAATCGTGACTACACCGTGCTGACTGGATATTGTAATTCCAGTTAAGCACTGATAAATGGACTGGATAATGGTTTTTGTAAACGAGCAGGTTCATAATCTGACTAACCTTTTGGGTGTGAGTGTTGGCTATTTTTTTTTTTTAACTATGAACTTCAACATAAAACATGAAAAAACGATCTAAACTAAACTATCCGCAAGCTTTAGTACCATTCACAGGTGCATTTCGTATACCAAAACAGGGGTATAAAAATGTTTTCTTGATTTTAATCAGTCAGTAAAGCTACTGCTTTATCCGAAATGAACAATTGGCACTCAGATTATAGCATTGTCTTTGAAAATTACCAAAAGTTTAAAGTAATATGCTATAGTGATTCGATATCGGTGATTGTGAGACATTTTTTCGAAGAAATGAGTGCGCGTTTGTATTTCAGTTCTAGTTAATCACTGAACATAAAATGACTGGATAGGTTCAGA